TAAAGCCCCTTCTATCAAATACATTCTGCCCCATCTCCTGAACAGCACAAAAGCCAACAGAGTGTGTGTGTGTGCGCGCGCGCGCGCACGTGCCTGCGTCCAGAACTGTAAGAGGCAGGGCACTTCATGGCTACATGAACCAAATGTTTAAAAAACAACAAACCTGCTGATCTGGAGGGTAGGCCTGTATGCCTGGATGGAAGACATTAGGCCTCACACAGGAAGATTTAGCAAGGGGCCGGAGACGGACTAAAAGATAATGGTAGAGAGGGATGCTCTCCTGCTTTTGTCTCCTAGGGAAGAGAAGAGGAGGGGGCATCCCCAGGGCCAGAAGAGACAAAGACCTGAAGGGGGCAGAAAGAATGGAGGGGAAAAGCAGGAGGGTGGCGGATATCAGGCCTCCACCGTGATAGGGGGCGACAGCAGAAAGGGGAGTTGGAAGCACAAGGGCAAGGGCCTGTGTGGTTGGCTCCCAGCTCTCCTCCGAGGCTCTGGCCTGTCCCAGGGAGCAAACCCTTCAGCCTTCTTCTGCTATTCCCCACCCTCCAAAACAGGCTGAGCTCAGAAGCTACCAACACCCAACTGTTCCCTTCCTCCTGGTTCAGGGATTCTAAGACTTCAGCCTCAATCCTGAAGCACTGGATTGAGGGTGAACTCGCCCTCTCCACATTTACCCCTGCCCCCATCACTTCCCAGGTGAGAGAGAAGGAAATAGTTGCTTCCCACACTGAGGGGTGGGGGGCTTCTCCAACACCAAGGATGGGGGGCCTGAAGGGTCTGGAGCCCCCTATCTCTCAGGTCTCTCTACTGCTCCTCCAGTCCTTCCCAACTCCCCATGATCTCCAGCCCTGTCAAAGCTGCCCTTGAATCCAGTCTCTCCCCAGCTCCTTTTAGCGAGATCAGGTAACGCCACCCCCCCCTCCATCCCAGCCTAGGGTCTTGGCCTTCTCCTTCTCTTTCTCACTAAACCCTTTTCAACCCAGACTCCCAAACTGGGAGGCCTCACCTACCACCCACCCCAAAAGCTGTCTGTTAACAAGGACAGGGCTCAGTGCCCACTTGGAGCAGAGCGTGGGAGTGAGCTCCTAGGTGGACTGGGGCCTAAGCAGCCGCTCCAAGGCACAGCTGATGCCATGAATAATTAACACCTGGGCGCGGCATCACTCTAATTTTCCTGCTCAAAGGTTTACACTAGCAGGCAGAGTTAAGTATCACAGATAATAGTGGCTATAAAGTCAGTTGGCCGGGCTCCAGCCAGGGAAGGAGATGCTAGCAGCCCCAACCGAACTTGGCCAAGGCTCCCTCTGCCTCTCATCCATAACTACTTCGAGGGGGGGGGGCAGTTCATAACATCCCCAAAAGCCACCTCTGGCTTTACTCTCAACCAGCAGACCCCTCCCCAGTGGGGAGGTACTGCGACCTCTCCCCCTCCCAATCTGTACCCCATTTGCTCCCTCTTTGGATGGGGACTTAGGGAGAGGAACACACCCTGTGTCCTGAAATGCTCTCCAACTTTCTGAGACCACCTGGAAACATTTCTCTTCTAGAAAAACTTACAGAACTTTTCCCTCCTTTAGCCCTCAACACACAGTCCCTCACCGCTGAGGAAACTTTCTTTGTTTCAGGAGATCGAAGGAAGGCTACTAGGGTGTGAATTCACTTCCTTGTTTTGTTAGACAGAAGGGTGGGGAGCCAAAGCTTTCAGCTTCCCTCCCTGCACTTCAGCCTCTGCCTCCATTGTCTCCCCCAGCTTGGGTAGCTCCAATCCCACCCTCAACACTCTGTCATACACGTCAGTCCTATAGGTTAAGCTTGAACACTATAACCAAATCCCTTCAGTCCCCTCCAGTTGCAGAGGACTTCTTTTTGGTCCCCATGGATTGCAAATATCTTTGCCTTCAACTTCAGTAATTTCTTCTCCTGCCTCCACCTCTCTTTCCCCCAGGCTCCTTCTGCCTTCAGAGTTGGGTTCTTTACCCCCGGCAGCATCGGAGCAGCCAAACTCCTGGAGGGGAACCGCTGAAAAATGAAGCTCTCTCTGCTGCTGCAGGAATGTTGGCTGTTATCAGGCTCGCAAATATAATTTTTATATTAGGTCGTGGTCTTTGACTGGGTTTATATGCCAATGAGGCATTTCTAGTTTACCAAATTTATACAAATCTCGCCTTAATTGATAATCACAGATGCTGTAATTTAAGACCTCCAGCTATAGAGCTTTCATATTAACTGCTGATATATTACTGTAAATCGTCTGAAATAACCAACTCCTGGGAGCAGAGCAGAGAGAGAGGAAGTGCCTCCGAGAGTGACTCTTTCCCGGCCGCAGAAATAGCCCAGCTTCCACATCATTTTCTGTGAGAAATGATTTATCGAAGACATGGCCATAAACAACACAACTCGCTCACAAACACACGCAGACGCGCACGCACGCACACACACACACACACATACAGACACAATGGCTGGCATGCCGGCCGAGAAGCTGACACCCATATTGCTATAAATCAAGAAAAAGGTTGGAGGAGAGGGAGAGGGAGAGAGAGAGAGAGAGAGAGAGAGAGATAGAGAAGAGGAATATTCCTAAAATCTCTATGCAATGCCTCAATGGGTACAAACACACAGAGCACCATGTGAAGAGAAATGGCAGGAAATGAAGATGGCTATTTGTCACATTTTACGACAATAACATTAATAACAAACAATAAATTTACATGGACATATAAGACGCGGTAGGTAGTGAGAAATCCCTTCTACTTACAATACCCCAGCCCGCGGTGTGGCTCCGGCTGCGGGGCTGTTTTATTGCTGCCTCCCTCTCTTTTTCTCTCTCTCTCCCTCTCTCTCTCCCTCTCTTTTTTTTTTCTCGGGGTACAGGCTTGTTTTTCAAAGGACAGTTGAATTGCACGTCAGAAACAGGGAGACCGAGCCTGTGATTTTCCTGACGAATACATATCTATTCTGCAACCTCGGCATTAATTATTTAATGAATCACGTGACCAGGAGGGGGAAGGGGGTCTTTCGATTTCAGGCTCAAAGGACCACTATGACCTTCCCCTTCAGGAGGAGAAATTTTCCTGCAAAATAGGTTCCCCCCAACCCACCAATGGAATAGTAGCCAGTTCTCTTTCCCACATTCATATCTGTATCTGCTGTTTCTACACTTCCTAACCAGCATCCCCCCCCAGACACACACTTACCCACAGCCCACCTCTCCTCTCTCCCTTCTCCTCCTGCTTCTGCTTAGTTTGTGAAGGTGCAGAAATAGTCTGCAGGGGCGTCTGGGGGGTGGGGTGGGATGGGCACAGAGTCCTTCTCCAAGCCCCTGGATTTCTCAGCATCCAGTTCCTCTCTCTACATCCTTTAACATTAACATTCTCCCCAACTCTATTTTACCCTCACTCCTAGGGTATTTTAGTGGGGGCATACTCCCCCTCTTCCTTACAGGACCAACAAAATTTCTAAAGGGACCAGCTTCAAAAGAAACATTTCATAGATCCAGATTATATGTGTATAAAGAAGGCTTTAATTCTTTTTTTAAAAATCTTTTGTGGTACCTTTTGAAAGGGCAGAAAAGGGACAGGGTGAAGAGATGACTTGGGAGCTTCCAGAGTTGAGAGTAACCACAAGGGGGACTTTTTTTCCTTGTGTTGTTACTGTTATAGGGAACCAAATTCTACTGAGAATACACTCTAGAGACAAAGACCTGGACTAAGAAGATTCCTACACAAAAGAAGTGGGCGCTCAATCTCTGGGTACTTCTGTCACACCCTGCCTCAGTCCCTCCCCACCCCCAACACACCAGTGAAGAGAGCTAGAGGTTTGAACTGGAGGGGAGGAGAGGGAAGAAAGAGGCTTTGAAGTTGGCCTGACAGCCCAGTTCCTATTTTCCAGGTGTTAGGACCCCCCATGCTTCCAATCAGCAGACGATGGAGACAGATCAATAGGAAAAAGATGAGGGGTTTCATATTGAAGGGTTAAACACCGGTGCTGATAGAAGAAATCCATCCCCTCTGCCTAGAGAGAGAAACATACACAGACTTCTTCATCTCAGATATAAACAAAACAAAACATCCTTCCAAACCTTCACATACAGCTTGGCGCCAGAAGGAGCAGACCAGATATGACCAGAGTCCCAGAATCGAATCGGAGTCTGGCCACGGTGTGGGATGGGGTTGCAAAGGGAAGCAGAGAAGACATTCCTGAAGGAGCCCCTCGCCCAGCCCACACTTCCAGCCTTATCTTCAGCAGCTCTGGGGCAGCCGCAGGGGCCGGCCGACAGGAAAGAACAGATGTGGTTTGGGGCGGGGGCAGGGGGCCGAGGAGCGGCCAGCGGTTTGTCTGGAGGGGTCTCAACCAAAAGCAACTCGAGGGGGAGAAGTTGAGGACCCAGGTGCCCTCACCACCCCTGAAGGAACGGCGTCTGGGTCCAGCGGGAGCGGCGGCGCGGCCCCGGCCGAGCACTGGGCCGGCCTGATCCCCTAAGAATACCGCTCTCAACGCCCGGGTGGGGCGCCGGCGGCCCGGGCTCTGTAGGGGGGTGATCGGCTTTGATTGTGCAGATACAAAACGCAGACTGGTATTGAATTCAGCCGCGCGCCCGGCTCCAGCGAGGGCAACTCCCTGCAAGGTCCTGGCCAGAGAAATCCATTAAAACTGCCCTCCCCCCAAGAAAAGCAGGCCACTAAAGCCTAAAAGAAAAATAGAGGGCGGGGGCGGGGGTAGCAAAGAAGAGAGGAGAGAGTATGCGGGAGCATGGGAAGACACCAATCTCAAAAGTGGTAAATTCATTTTAAGGACGAGCTAAAGAAAAGCCGGTGACACGGAGGCACGCCGGGCAGGTTCTGTTCAAATGCCCACACTCTTTTCGGATCCTGGGAATGTCCATGTTCAAATAAACAAGCGCCGGGGCGCGAGCAGAGAGCTTTCTTGCTGCCGATAAAGCGAACGTTTATACTGTGAGAAAGGCAAGATTGATTTACGAATCTGAACGCGCCGGTTTTATGGCCGATCACAAATCCGTCAGCGCTCAACTCACGCTGGGAAACTTCCCAACTCCGCTTTCCAACCAGACCCCCCTCCCGGGGCCGCCGCTTCCATGGGAGACCCACCACGGGCGCTGGGGCGGCCCCAGCGGCAGCCGGCACAGGCTGGTCCGGCAACCCCACTCTGCCCAGGCGGGTGCAAAGAGGAGGGAGCATGAGGCGGGGCGGGGGGGGGGTGCGACGAACTGGATGAAGAGCGGTCCAAAGGTTCCGAGGATAGAGGTGGCCGCTAGAATTGTAGAAGGTGAGCCCAAGGGGCTGGGGAGCCTGCCGGGCCGTGCTCAGCTCTACAGAGGTTGGGGGTCTGGCAGTGAGGGTCGGGGGAAAGGCCCTCAGTTCCCTTTTGAAGGAACCCCAGCCTTCCCTTTCCCTTTCGTGGATCTGTAATCCTCACGTGGCAGAAAGTAGGTTGTAAAGACCCAGGTGACTAGATCTTTGTCACCTGAGCCTCTATAGGCTCACAACAGTTTATCTGCTCTGAGGAGTTATGGGTGCACATCTCCCCTGAGTCCCAAATACTTTCATTTCAGGAGGAGTCCAACTTGCCTTTCTGCTGGCTCCCTTTTCTTACCAAGGCCACCAGCCCCTGCACTTGTTAAGCCACCCAGGGACAAAGGAGAGGATACCAACCAACGCCAAGCCAGTTATTGCTTGTCTGAGACAGTCCCCAAGACATAGGAGACAATTTACAAAATGCAAACCAACATCCCACATATATCCCAGCAAGGTTCTGTTTCTCCTAGTCCTAACGAAGGTAACATTTCCTTTTCCCAGCTGGAGTCTGTCTCTCTCTTTGTCTCTATCCCCTCCTAAGAGGATGGCTGCTGGTATAGATTTTTTTAAGATACAGCAAGTAGAATTCAGATTTGGAAAGGCTCTCTGTTGAGTTCACATCTTAACAAATCCCCCGTGCATCTCTTAAAAGTTGTTGGAAACTTTGGTTAATGTGGCACAGCTGTCCCTGGAAATGATCAGACAGCCTACACTGACCCTTCTCCCATCTCTCTTGCTCCTCTGGTGGGGAGGTACTCTGTTGGGCACTGTGAGTCGCTGGGGTGGGATTGAAGACTGGGGAAGGGGGTGACAGTGATTATAGAAATAGCTTCCTAAACAAAGGGACTTCAGAAAATGGGTCAAGAAGCTTTGGATTTGGAGAACAGACCTTGAGAGATAGTAACCACAGTGGGGCCCTCTCTCTCAAGACCCAGGGGCTTGCTCCCCTTGCTCTCTGAAGCCCCTGGACCTCTTATATCTGTCTCCCTTTGTCTTTCTCCCCGCAGCCCCCTCCAAAGGGACAGGAAAGGAGGAGGGGTGGACTGGACAAGGATGGGGGGTGAATGTGCCTGAGGAAAGGAGCTCTGCACAGGAAGAGAAACCAGCACCCTACTTCCCTCCCCCAGCTGAGCTTTTTTTTTTTTGCTTATTTTCTTTCCAATGGACAGTAATAGAAAAATAATCCAGAAACTTCAAGATAGAAAAAAAAAGGGCTGGGGTCTCGTGGTGGGGTGGAGATGGGACATGCAACAGTCCAAGGACCCCTCGCTGCAGAGGTGTGACTTTCCCTTCTGGGCAGGAGGCAAGAGCCAACACAATGTCCAGTCTCAGAGAGGTCAAGGGGCTTCCGAGGTCATTTTGTGGTTCTAATACTGAGCTAATCGCCTAGAAAACGTGGCCTCTCCATGAACTCTCTCTCCTGCCAGTCTCCTACTTCTAAACCCTCAGTGAGTCCCAAGGAAGAAAGGCCAGCACATTCTGGTCTGAGGCAGAGTCTACTGGCTCCTTCACCCTCAGAATCAGGGCCCCTGAGCGGGGAACAGAGCCCCCAAAGCAAGACAGCAAAAGGAAAGCAAACTAAACTCTGAGCCTTCAGGAAAAAGGGAGGGGGCAGAGTCAAAGAGGAAGATTCTGGCGTCAACGAACCTTGCCTGCAAGCAAAACAGTTTCCTGCTCCAGAGAGTGGCAAATATTTGTCCAGAATCCCAAGCTAGACACAAAAAGAAAAACTGAAGACATCCACCTATACCCCCCAAAACTGCCTTCCATTTTTCCAGAAGGGAGCAGTGACAACTCACCGGTAAACAGACCTGTGGGATACCAGCCCCCAGGGTAGACAAGCAGAGTTATGGAACTCACAGGCCACATGTACACCTCAACTCAGTACACACACACACACACATATTCTGGGGCTCCCCAGGCCCTGCTGCATTTTCTAAAACCAGAAAGCACTTCTAAACTGCCTCCCTATCTTTTCTGGGGGTTTTCTGGGGTCCTGACACCTCAGTCCCAGTCACTTCAAACACTCTTCAGGTGTCAGTCCCTGACCCAAGCATCTGTCATCATAAAAGGCATCAAAACCGGACCAAGCATCCACCATAAAAACCCTGTGAAGATAGTTGAAAAAGAAAAAGAAGGAGGCGAGAGAGTATTTCTTCTTTCCCTTGTAAAAAGAGCTCATAAAACGATTTAAAAAAAAAAAAGCCAACCCAGGCGGGGGCTTTGTTACCTTTGCGCCTCTCGCCTCCTCTCGCCTGAACTCCACGGATCCCATTCATGACGAACAGCTTCTTCCAAACTGAGAGAAAAAAGTTTTCAACTTTATGGTTCCAAATTTTTTCCCCCTTGCAGATCCGGGAGTGGCGGCTAACACTTTTTTCCCCCAACAGCCGGTCTGCGGAGATTTGCTGTTGAATAATAACAAAGGAGAGAGGATACGTATTTAAAGAAAAGAAGTGATTAATGGTTTTCTGTATAATTCTCACATTTTTCTTAGCTCTTGTCTACACAGAATGGCTGTGAACTTTAAGCTCCATAGAAATCTTTTTTTTATTCTATTCATACCTTCCTAAGAGCAGCTTTGATTTGGTTCTATAGAGACATTCCTGGGGGGGGAGGTGGAATATGCTTTTTAGGAACTATTTCCCCCTCTAGAAGGGAAGGGCGGCTGCATCCCTGGGCAGCTAAACATCACACCAGCGATTCTACTGAAAACAAAGCTCGCTGCTCTCAACCTCCAGGTCCATGCGATTTGCTAAGAGTCTCCCCGCAGCACTGAAACGGGCGGTTCAAACACCCCTTCCCGTGCGGTGGACCCTGGGCCGGTCTGTCCCGGGGCCCTAGCCAGCCTCAAACACCCTGGAGGTGCACACCGGAGGAATGCAAAAGAAATAACAGTAAAATGCGCTGGTGGAATTGACTAGTTTTATTTTCTGAAGCCAGTTGGGACTGAAAAACGACTTTGAATTGCACTTGCTCTTCAGAGCCCTGAAATTTTGGGGGGCGGGATGGCTGTACCCGGGGCCACCACAGGACCGGAGTCCGAGACCAGAGGCTTAGAACTTCTCCTGGGCTTGACCCCAAAGTGGCCCAAGCCTCCCCAGAGCTTCTGAGGGTCACTTGCACCCTCTCCCCCTTCCCCCATTCCATTCTAGGGGTGACTGGGACCTCAGAGACAGAAAGCTATTTGGTCCCCAGTCATACTTTCGATACTTTCTATGAGAAAGAAAATGAAAATTAATACAGGAGCAGGGCTTCACAAAAGAGGCCATTTGTCTTCTTGATTATCTATTTGCTTGTCAGAGTTTGAGCTATGGCACCGGCTAGCTCCTTTGTAATATAAAAATACTCTGAAAACCTGCAAACACCCAGAAACATCTGTGCAAAAAATTAGACTCATTAAAGCCTTAAACACCTCAGAGGAAAAGGATACCTTCTTACGGGGAGGAAAGAGGCCAGCCGCGCAGAATCCTCCCTCACAACTTTAATAAGCAAAGAGCTGTCTGTCTAGAAAGAGACAGCTTTAACCGCATTTTATTTGCTTATGACAAATAAATCACAATATGAAAGCTTTTGCCATACTTAAGCCTCTTGTGTCCTACAATGAAACATTTTCTCCCCATTAGGGATTGGAGTCAGCCCTCCCAGTCCTTTCAATCCATTTTTGGACTAGAGGGAAAAAATTAAAAACCCCAAACAAAACACACCCACCCCAAAAGGAAAACACACCAGCTACCACCATTTGCAGTCCTCTGAGATAGAAATTCCCATTGGATCCTTTGAAAAAATTCCTCAACCACATTAATGTGAGGCCGAATGGACTGGGGTACTTAAAATACACACTGGGTGGCATTGGTCTGCATCTTTACATCAAGATTTCAACAAAAACACGCCGTGCTGATCACAAGAAACCAAACATTTATTTCTATTGTCACTCTGTACAGGACACACATTTTCACACCAACGAAGGGTTCTAGACTCAAGCAGCCCCAGGACTAGGAAGGGGCCTGGTTTGGAATGTCAGAAAGAGAATAGGAGAGAGGACAGACGCACGTGACATAAAATAATAATAATAATAATAATTAATAATAATAATAATAATAATCAATGCAACAATGATAAACTATGGGAGAGGTCTCTGTAACCTTATCTCCCAGATGGGAAGGGCATTTTATTTCCTAGTTTCACATTCACTTTCAGTCTAGGAGAAAAGGCCTCCACTGCACAACTCTAGATGGGGGAGAGGGTTGTGTCCAGCTCCCAGAAGGCAACTGGCCTCTCACCCCGCCAGGCATGGCTTGACCTTCCAAAGGAGGGCCCTCCCGGTCTCTGGGTCCTCTTTTTCTTTCGGACTCAATTACCCTGCCCTGCTCCTGCGCAGCCGAGGCACCCTTCGTCCACCTGTCCCCAGCCTGTCGTCCCCACCCCGGCCCCAAGGTGGAAGGGGGGTGAACGGGCACGGAGGGGGAAGGAGGCTGTGTGCGCGTGTTTGTTACCGTGGCCAAAACACTGTGCTATCTGGCAGTCAGAGGATGCTTTCGCTGGGTTTCAGGAATGAGGGACAAAGAAAGAAAATCCAGACTGTCTTCCAAGAGCGGCAGCAGCAGAGGCGGCGGCGGCCGGGCCGGGCCTCATTTGTTAGCCGGGTGTCGAGGTAATGGTCGCCACCGAGGCCCGTCCTCTCCTCGGCAGAGTAAACAAGACAGATGGGCCTGGGCCTGGCGTGATTAAAGATGAAACGTGGATCCATCTTCGCCAAAGCTGAAAATGAGGAGTGCAGCCTCCTCCTATTTCTCTTTCTGTCTTTTTCTTTCTTCCTTCTTCTTTTTTTTTTTTTTTTAAGGAAGAAAGCAAGAGACTTGAACCTTGCTTCTGGGGGGCCTCACCCGGCTCCCTACTGTCATTTCTATAAATAAAGCTTCCCCTCCCCCCTCCTCCGCATTTATTCGTGTAAATAGACAACGTGGGGGGAGGGCAGGTGGGCTTTTTCGGGCCCAGGCCCCAGGGTCCCCTCCCTCGTCTCCCCCAACCACCCCCCGAGCTCGCAACCCACCCCCGCCCCGAGGTTCGCGGCTCCCGCAAGGGGGGCACTAGAGCGCCGGGGGGCCTCCGTTGGGCCGGCCAGGGGGCCCTCCGGCTGAGCCTGCGGTGCTGCCCGAGCGGATCTTGGTGTTGGGCAACTTGTGGTCTTTTTTCCACTTCATGCGCCGGTTCTGGAACCAGATCTTGATCTGGCGCTCGGAAAGGCAGAGCGCGTGGGCGATCTCCACCCTCCGGCGCCGAGTCAGGTAGCGATTGTAGTGAAATTCCTTCTCCAGCTCCAAGACCTGCTGGCGAGTGTAGGCGGTCCGAGAGCGCTTGGGCTCCCCGCCGGCGTAATTGGGGTTGACTGGACACACACAGAGAGAGGGAGAAAGAGAAAGTTTTATTGCCCCGAAAGGGAGGAGGGGGAGCCCTTTCCTCCCGCTAACGCAGTGTCTCCCTCCCTCTCCCGCCACCTCTTCTTCCTCCAGAGGGGGTGGGGACGGAGGAGAAAGCGGGACCCCAGGAGGAGAAAGAGACCTCTAAGTTTTGGACGACTGTGCGGTCACGACGTTGTTGTTTGGGAGGGGTGGGGGGGAGGAGTGAGGAATCTTCACAAGGTTTTAATCGCTCATCTCTCCCCCCACTTGGCCTGGGGCCCGGGATGGGAGAATGAGGGGTGAAAGAGGGAGGGGGCTTCCCTAAACCTTTCTGTTAGTTCCCACCCTCTATGTTCCGATTCCAAGTAGTGCCTGCCCCCAGTAAAAACTTTTGCCCACTAGCCAAGGAGCCAGACTAGAGGAAAGAAAGGAAAAAATAAATACGGGGAGTTGACTCAACTCTCTGCTTAAATACAGATTACCTCCTCCCCCTTCTCCTCCCCCACCTCTCACACCCCTCCCCAATTTCCAACTTCACTGAGACTGCATCTCCCTGGCGAAAAAGTCGCTGGTGAGAATGTCAAAGAGGATGGGGAACCTACTTCAAAGGCGCGGGGCCCACCAGGCCATAAAAATTTATGGGGGATGTAATTATGTGGCTCTGAAAACAGGCGACCGTAAATCTCCGGCAATGGCGAGTTTATAGCGGGGACAATTGGCTTCCCCTAGCTCCCCCCACCCCCATGCCTTGAGGTCCCTTTGGTGTAAAGCGCCGGGGGTGGGAGGGGGAAGGGGTGCCCACGCACTCACCCGTGCTCACGTGAACTTTGCGCATCCAGGGGTAGACGACGGGCTCTTTGCACGCGGAGTGGGACGGGCTGGGGTGCAGGGGGTTCTGGGCGCAGGGAGGCGGCGGGGGGCTGCTGCTGACCGCCTCACAGCGCTGGCCGGGCTCCGGGAGGAGGGCCCCGGACGGCGGCTGTGCGGGAGCCCGAGGGGACAGCCCGGGCGGTGGCGGGGGCGGCGGCGGCGGCGGCGGGGGCCCAGGGTCCCGGCAGGCCGCGTAACGCTGCACGGTGCACGCCGAGCGCCGCCCGAAGCCCGCCTCCGGCTGGAAGCTGCTCTCTCGCCTCTGGCCGCCGGCGTAGTACCCCGGCGAGTGGTCGCTGGGTAGGTAATCGCTCTGTGAATATTCCTCGCACGGAGGGAACTTGGGGTCGACATAGTTTGAGTTGATCAAAAAAGAACTCATAGCCATTAATTTCTGGGAATTGTCCACAAAATATACTAAAATTTATTCCGACCCCTGACTCGTTTTCCTGTTTCCGAAAGCCCTCCTACTTACTGTCAAGTGAACAAAGTTAGGGGCCCACGTGATCCTCGGAGCCAATGGCCGCCCCGCCTGCGATTCCCGGATAAGGAAATCTGCTCACCCGGACCCTACTCCAGCCAAAGAGGTTTATTTCCCCTTCTTCTCCACCCCCCCTCCCTACCCACCCAACACCAGGATTTACATAGGGCTCCTGCGGGGCCACCGCCTCCTCGCCTCGCCTCGCCTCTCCTGGATCGGGGAGAGGGAGGGAGAGAGAGCGAGAGCGAGTGAGCAGGTTGCCACCCGAGGGCCTGTTGGGGCGCTGGGCGGAGCGCAATCCCTGGATCCCCTCAGAAGTTGGGGCTCTGAATATGGCCCCTCCCGTCCTGCGCCCCCCCCCAGGCCTTCCTTAGGGTCTTAGTCCCTCTTATCGATGGGGCGTATGGAGCATCTGCACCCAGCGTCTAATCAGGGGAGTTAAGTGAGGGGCGGACTAGGGGCTCCGCCTGGAGAGGAGAACCCACACGGGGGAACGAGGCTTCGAGCGTGGGCCTTTTCTGTGCAGCCGCACGGGGAGGGGTAGGGAGTGAAAGAGGAGGCGTCGGAGCAACCAGGCGGGTGTACGGAGGGACTTGTCAGAGATGAATGGAACCACGGGCGGATCGATAGGAAATTCATGCACTAATTCGGGGAGACCTCGCCTTCCAAATCGCATTTAGCTGCGCTATTAGTTTGGCTGTGTCAGTCAGTCCGTCTGTTCCCCTCTCCTCTCCACTCCTCCCCTCATCCCACGCGGCCCAAACCGGGAGAAACGAGTTAGTTTCCCACACTGAACATGAACACTGGAGTAAAAAACCTCCAACTTCTGAGAGCACGTTGAATAACAATTTGCTAATTCCAGAAACACCGGAGCACGGCTAACCGCGGCGGCGAGATGTTCTAATTGCCATTAATGCCGCGCCTCAGCAGCGAGCAGAAATCTCTCATCCTTGTGATGCTAAGGATAGGAGCCTGGGTGATCCCCACACAATAACACCCTTTGGTAATAGCGTGTTTCCAGGGCATCTTGTTCTGCACCCAAACGGAAAAGCGACCTCTGCATCCGTTTGAAAAGTGAATTTCCTTTCCCTTCGCACACTGACGACAATAGTCATTTTTACCAGATTTTCAGTGAAGCCTCCCTGAACCCAAAATAGGGAATAGCTGGACCAAAGGGAGAGGACAAAATAAAAACATCAGCAACAATATTAACCTTTTAAGAGAAGTGAAAAAGGACCAAGGCTCCCAAGGGCAGGCATGGGTAGATTTCAGGTAGATGATTCCTCCATCTCTAACCAGTTCAGGGAGAAAAAGAAAAAGGAAGAAAGAAAAAGAAAGGAGTCTTCGTGTCACCGGATGGTCCTCATTTAGGAAAAAAGATTTTTTTCTTCAGAAAAAAAATGAGCGGAGTGTTTATGTCAACTACATATTCCCCTAGATACGAATTTGTGATCACAAAATTCCTTACACAAATTCGGATCTACAGGGTATATACAGAAGACAGACAGATCTTCTTGGCCCAGAAATTTTCCAGTCCTCCTATTTTCCACGCATCCTTCGTTTGGGGTATGGTTTCAGTGCTTTGATTCCCCCCGCCCTACTTTTGAGCTCTGGGAGCAGGAAAAGTCACGGTGGGTCCATTCCTGGGATTACAAGGTTTTCAACCCTCTTCCTCTTCTATTAGAGAGAAACAGAAACAGCCGGTCCCGCAAAGGGACGCGAACCTTGGGGCTGCTGTGCATCTCCGCGGCAGTGCATGAATTATGAGATGTAAACATTAGCTAAGCACAAAAGGAGGAAGGGTCATCCTGAGGCTGCGGCATAGTCAGAATCAGGCCCTTCTGGGTGCCCTCCAGCCCCTCCCCTCCCCCAGGACTTTTTTTTTTTTTTTTTAAGAAAAACAAAACCCCAATCGGCAACTCCGTGTCCCTCTGCAGCCTTTAGTTTGTGATCAAACGAAAATCTAGATATTTTCCAAGGGGCCTCTCAGCAAAGGGAAGAGGGATAGGCGGCTGGGTGTGAAGGGGGTGTCATAAAAGTCCTTTTGGAAAAATTCAATGGTAAAAAGAGAAACAGCTGTAAAGAAAAATGCTGGGAGACAGAGCAGATGGGGCCCCAGATATTTAATGACGGGCAATTCCGTTTACAACCTGAGAAAAAGATCAAAGGCGTTTCATTTCCGAATGGAGGGTGAGGAGGAACCGTAAAAGATGCAGCCAGATGATATTCCGGCCCCTCCCAGCCTCCCATACCTCCTGGGGCCAGAAAAGGGGGATGATAGCTGAAGTGTGAGAAGGAGTCCCATTTCCCCCACCTCCCTAGCTCCTGGCAGGCTCTCTCCATCCAAACTTGCTCATTCAGCCACCTGCTAGGGTTGCTGGCAGTGGGACCTAAATGGGGATCTGGGAAACCTGGGGGATCTGGAGTTTCGAAGGGACTTACTGAGGCTGCCAGTAACAGCTGAATTTACTAAGCTGGGAGACTGGGGATGGAGCTGAGGGAATGGCATCCTAGACTGTGAAAGCTAAGGGCCTTCAGAGGGTGATGGGAAGGGTGCACAGAACCTCTTCTCCACCTACTCCTCACTTATCGCTCCAGGTATGAGGAATACTTGCATCCCTAGTGAATAAGTCAGAATAATAAAATTTTCTTTAATAAACACATCAACAAAACAAAAAAACAACCCTCTAACCACCACACTCTAAAGGTATGTGCCCATAACTGGCCCTGGGACCCTTGCACGCGGGTAGGAGGAGAGTTTTCACCTACCAGCCACCAAGTCCAGAGCCCTCTGATTTTCTATCCCAAATCTAGCTTGCCAGGTTTGGCCTCTAAGCTTGATTTCTAACACTAACACCTATATTTGAAAAATCACACACACAATAATATTGCAGTTATTTTTGCCAAGAGAGGGTCCAGTAAGTAATCTCATACCTCCATTTGGGCACTCAGGAAGACTGGCTCCTGGCCCTGGACCCACAGACAAAATGTGTGGATAGGACCACCACCACGCCCCCAGCATCAAGCAGGGAACTGTCCTAGTCTTGTCAAAGGCCACTTTAGTCAGGGGCACCATTCCACTGGCCAGACCACTTCCCCTACCCCATACCTCCTGTTCTCAACTCGCCACCCTAAAACTCGTCCAACTGGTAGGCTTTTCGGAATTGGGAGAGGGCCTCTGTGCTGCTCTACACTTTCTTAAGAGATGGAGTCCAGGTGCCCCCAAGCACCCCAAGAGAGAGGGTGGGAAGCAGAGCCTGTGGGGTTGATGCTGGGGACAGAGCGCAGAGATTTTTCTCCTCTGTGCGCTGGGAGCCGCCACCTGCCCATCCCATCGAGGGGTCGCACTCCCCACCCCAGCCAGTCCCGCCGCGAGGGGTGGAGGACTGGGTTTATCAGCGATTTCCGAGACGAGGTTGGCTAGAGCAGGAGGCTGCCTCTGCCCTCCACCCGCGAAGAGCACTAACATCAATACGCATACTAAAAATAATAAAGAAAAAGCCAAGGCTCCGCGCGCTTTCAGAGCCACCTCCCCCGCGCTCCCGGTGGCCCGCCGGCCCGCCGGCCGCCTTCTCCCGGCCAGCCACAGGTTGCCGCAGTGACCTCGCTGCTCAGCCCCTCCGCCGTCCCGGGCGTGTCCAGCGCGCGCCACTACCGCTACCTTTTGTCGGCGGGGAGGGAGGGACAGAGCGAGGGAGGGAGTTCGCAGGCCGGGGAGGCGAGTCCCCGGGCGGCCCGCAAGGCAGCGGCCCGGAGGAGCGCCAGGCCCGGAGGGGCGCGGGCGGGAGTACTCACCGGGCCGCTCCCCGCGCCCTCCCGGCCGCCGGCCCGCCCGCGGGCCCGCGCGGCCCCCGACAAGCTCGCTCTCGTCCACTATTGTGTGTTCGGAAAACCGAACCGCCGCGGCAGGCAGACGAGCTCCGGGGCCCCCTTGGTGGCCGGAACAAGACTTTTTTTTTTTTTTGGTGTGTTGTTTTTGAAGTGCAAGTTTTCGTATTAATCTCATACTTTGGCAGTCTTTGTTAAACAGCTAGGCGCGTCACCAGGCTCTCGAACATTTTAATAATTTTTAGACGCCGTGACCTGCGGTTCACCCCCTCTCGGGCCTCCCCCATGAGCAGGCAGTTACTATAATACGCTCGCGCAGTTCGCTGGGTCATATTGAATTTTGCGCAGGTCATTACTTGGGAGAAAAATGACAGAGCAAGGAATTTGATTCAGCTCATCCTCTCTAGCTCTACTTTTTGCCAGAACCTTCCCCCAACTCCTACCCCTCAAAGTCCCACTCGAATAGGGACTCAGCCGCCAGCCTCCGCTTTGATATTCCATCATTCCAATATTTTTTGTCAGCTTTCCTTCTGGGGGCAAAGAGGGAGTGGGTAGAACTCTGGAGGGGTTCACTTTGCAGCCCCTGATAGAGACCAGCACCTGGATAAGTGGAAATGTGGGGATCTGGGTCCCAGAGAGCAGACTTGAGCCAGAACCCCTATAAATGGCCGCATTGACAGGGCCTGTATTCCCACTCAACTGCACACTCTGCTTTTTTCCACCCCACAGTGCCAGAGAGATCCCCATTTCTGCCTGAACTGGAAGCTCCAGGGCCCCAGGAATGAGACCTCCACCTCCTGGTGCTGAGATCTGGTCCACAGGCCAGCATGTTTGGGTAGGATAGAATCCTGAGAGAAGGGCTGGACTGCACTGGTCAAACCTGGGGACTGGCTTTCAGAGGCTTTAATTCTCCTTTAAAAATCAAAGAATATCCTTCCCACCTCCATTTTTATTTAAAATTACTTCTCATCTATACTATAACTCTTTTGCCTACCCCCAGCACCATCACCAGGAGGTTCAGGAACAAATCAAAGAGGCGCTTAAAATACTCAAACAGATTTTCTTTGGTTTATCCCTCC